CCAGGTGGCGATCACAAGCAATTGGGTGTAGACCCACGTACTAAGGGAAAGTACCACGGTTTGTAATAAAGCTACTATTCCCACCAGGAAAGCCCTTCTCTGCTCGCTTCCTTACCGTGTCCAGGGCGGGGCTGGCGCTGCCCAGGCAGGCGTTGAAGACGGCGGTGGGCTCGTGGGCGTACAGGGCGGCAGAGAACGCTCCCCCCTGCGCTGCCCGCAGCAGCGCCGCCAGCGAGTGCAGCGCGTGCGGCAGGACGGGGCCCACGATCTCCAAGCTGAATATGTCCTCGTACGCCCGCTGAGCCCTCGCTCTGGCGTTCATGCTCCGAGCCTGAAGACAGAAGTGTGCAGGATTAGGTTCTGAGGCACACATCAAACCCTGATTTTCATTTACTTTAACGCCGCTGTCCTGCAGTCCCGTTAGATGCACAAGATACATTTCAGTATTGTCGACCTCTTGTGCAGTATGTGAGTAGTACAACTGTTCTACTGTCTTTGTGCCAACTGTGCTGCTACCCTGTATTTGAAAGTTAACTGCGGGAGACCACCAGGAGCCACTTCCCTGGTGGAAGGCGACTGTGCTGCCTGCATTAACAGCATATCCTCTAGTACCTGCACCTCACTGCGGCAGATGGTGGGTCGTGGTTCAGAGGCTCCCTCGCTGCAAGCAGCTGTGATAGTTTGGGACCCTGTAAGAGCTTGGGAGAATCTTATAAGGACTGTTTCAGTATCTGGGAAATATGCTTCACCTCTTATTTATTAGGGTGTGAAGAACGGAAACACTGGGATTTCAGTTCAGCAGTGCAGATCTACATGGACAGAGATAACTTTGGAGGCAATCTGTATTGCATTCAAAATGCTAATTTGGACTTCAACAACAAAAATCACAGTACCTGAGGAAAACTATAAAATAGTCAGTGTCTAATCTACTGGATGCAAAAACAAGTCTCTCTTCTTTGTTAAAAAACAGAGATGGCTGTGTTACTTACTTTGAGCGTCTGCATTGTTCCACCTCGGAAAGCAACAGGTGACAACAAAGTTGGTGGGAGCCCCGCTTGCGGGCCTGAAACAGCCACAAGGCTCTTACAGTTTATCAAGAAGTTCAGCAGCGTGAACGTGTTTGTTCCTTTCACTAGTGCCAGGGATTCAGGTCTGTGATCCACCTGCACCTCGTGCTTCTCCTTACGACTGCGCGGACTGGAGTCAAAGGAAAATCATTTGGAAGTGAAAAGCATCAATGCACCAAAAGAACAGCGGCGCAACTCCAGAAGAAACACCCACACACCACCTCTCTGATCAATCAATCAGTTCATTTAAACGAACAAAACCAAAAAGCCACCAAGCTTTACACTGGTTCAGATTTGTTCTACAAATACTAAGCGCCATCTTGAACCTGTCCTCTGATTTCATTATTAGAAACCTCAGATGCTCCAAGTGCAAACAGAACCAGAGGAAGTCACAGTTAGTTGGTACCTCTGAAACGCATACAGCTGTTCTGGGCTACAGGTGTGTCCCTACTATGCCACACTACTCCCGAGTGTAAAACTGGCTTCCAGGAACATACAGCCCTTTCATAAAGAAAATAATAACAAACAAACAAAACCCTAATGAGTTGTTCCAGTGAACCTCTATGTGAGGTGACACAATCAATTTGTGACCTAACAGATCTTACAAAGTTACATTAACAATTCACATGGGCTTTTCTTTCAAGAAGAAAAGCATCCAGAAATACTTGTCATAAAAAAAAACTCAAAAGGACATACACAGTTTCTTAACGTGCAGTAATGTCAGGATTAATATTTGGAAATAAGTTCTCAAAAGCTTTTATAAAACTTAAATCTATAGCACAAAAGGGTAACATCCGCACGGTTTTCAAGTGTCATACTTCTTGACAAGCAAAGAAAGGATACAGTTTAATAGAAATAGCATCTGGTTTCTTAACCTTGTCTTGAACTCCCATCTCCTCGAGCCAAGAGAAACTTTCCTCGTCATCATCGCTTGGAGCTGGTTCCCTGGGAAACACAGAATCAGTGTTAGGAGGGCAATACTTCCTAGGAAGGTTTTCCAAAAGCAATGTGCAGGATGCACATTGTAGAAGACTTATTACATACTCTCCACCTTCTGTACTGTCGCATGCTTCCAGGCTGTTAGCAACTTCTGTTTCCAAATTCACTTCAGTCTTCTGTTTCCTGGTTCTGCTCTCCTCTACCAAAGGTAAAGAAAACTCTATGCCTTGAACAGAGGAGGACAGCAAGCGATGAGTGTTTTTCTAACACAGCTAATGCACTCGATCAGTTACACAAATCCTAGTGGGACTTACTTCACCTTACCTTCGCTTCTCATGGCTTCCCTTAAACCTCTCGTTGTGGGAGAAATGAGAGCTGCGATGACGTCGCTCCCTGCGAGACCGGCCGCACGGAACAGGACGGTGAACTGGTATGTACACACGTAGAAGTAGGGACACAGTTTGGCTTTGAGAAGGTTGTACAGAGAAGTGAAGCTGACAGACCTGCGAGGGTGAGAGTGGGACAACTCTGTAAGGGCAGTGACGGGGTGCTGGAAGCCGTGGGCGGGGCGGTTCCAGGCGCACTGCTCCCCCCGCCCCCCAGCCCGCAAGGCTTTCTCATAACAACAGAAACAAGGTGTGCATTAATTAAAATCCCATTGCCTTCATCTTACTAAATACATCAGTTTTCTGCTCCACTTACCAGTCACTCATTAGCACTTGTTGCAAGGATTCATCCTGTGACCAAGGACTGGCCTTGCCAACTATTTTCCTGTCTGCTCCGATCCGAGGGAACAGCTGCAGCCACGGCAGCGAGGGGTGAAGCCAGTAAACGAGGCTTTGCTGAAAGGCACAACGCAGTTCTGTCGACAGTTTTGGTTCCTAGATGTCAAGAAGTATTTTATGAGGACAGTAATATTTTACTTAAGGCACCATTGCAAGTGACCAATTAAAAAACAGACCACATTAGGCACTAAAAAAAAAATTCCCTGCTTGTGAAACAGCCAGACTGAATAAAGAGGGTCGGGAACTGGCAACTGCTCCACAGCTGAGGATAAATGACCACTCACTTATCGCTGTTTGCCATGGTGGGTACAAGCCATGGACAGTTAGACTAGTAATCTAAATGAGCCTTATTCTTAACACCAAAAACGTTTCGCCATCTTAAGACCAAAACAAAACAGAACCAAGCTTTCACTGCCAGCATGCTTAAGGAAAGGTGCAAAGGTCCAGTCTCCTTTCTAAAGCTGGAGCTTCGAGCTGCCCTCTGAAGTATTACCTGTACGCACTGTGGCAAGTTTGTTTCTGTAGCTCTGCAATGCTGAGCAAATCCTTGAGCTTCCTCCTGTGCTTTTAAATGTTCTGCCCAGGAAAAAGGTTGGGAAGACATAAACAGAAGTCGTGTTTTAATACTCCAGTCTGCAGGAAAGTCATGGCTTGGTGAGGAGGGAACTTTGGGTACAGCCACAGGTAAATGAAGGTCCTTACAAAAGAGAAACAGCATCAGTTAACCTACAGAGAATTTTTTTTTTTTTAAAAAAACAACTACGTAGCTACCTATTTATATTTTAGCATGGTTAGGTCTTCTCCCATGTCAATTTAATATACCTTTCCTGGCAGGCAGACCAGCTACCAGACCATGGCTGTCACAAGTAATATCTTGAGTTTAGCAGCCAATAAAAAGACAAGTCAAACGTGTTGTCTCCTGCATGTTTTGTTGCCATTCAGCGCAAGCACAAAAATGCCTAGCTCATTTTGATACTAAGGAACTACTTGCATTAAGTGACATACTTAAAAAAATAAAAAAGCATTTGCAGGCAGATTTTCTGGATTCCAAGTTACAGAGTTTGACTGTTCATAGGCTAACCAAAGTCACAATTCACACTCAAGTGATTCTTTCAGTCAGTAACAGCTTGTTATAGAAATACAGAATTATATTGCTTATAAAAATGCGGAGGAGAGTTTTCATTCAAAGAAGTCTTTCCAAAAATCATAAACTAGAAACAGATAAAACCTAGCCTAAAGTTTATGAAGACAAGATGAAAAAGATCACCACTGGGGAGCTCTAGGACAGTCTTTGAGAGGTCATTTTTCTGCTAAATTAGTTTGAACTTAAGTTTCTGAACCTATACAATGTTGTGATGTTGCCTGCTTGAAACTCTCTTTCAAGGACTGGTTTTCAGGTATTCCTTCTTTTCCATGTGCCTGGTGAAGTTTTTTGTTCCATTTCTGTAGCTGAATAAAAGACTGCAGGAGATCTATCACTCTGAAGGACATCCTTATCTCAACAAAATATAAAACTAAGAAACAGGAGAATTACAGTAAACTAAGTAATAAAACTGGAAGAAGAAAACAACAACTGTCAGTCAACTAGAACTACAACAATAGCGATGTCAGGCAGAAGGCCAGCTTTTAAAAGACTGTCATCATAACAGCAAACGTCAAGGGAATTAAAGAAATCTTCTTGAACGCTGACATTTTTTGAACATAATTTTATGGAGAGATGTATCATCAAATATTAAGATAACCCGTTTCAGCCTCTTGGTAGCTGAGAGCAGCCAAAGCCGCGTCAGAAGTAGCGTGCGCTGTTCCGTACCTCGGTTGTGGGGAGGACCTCGGTTCTCTCAGAGGGCTCTGCTCTCTTGGCGGGCTTGTCTTCACACACAGCCTCTAAAAGCTGAATGACAAAGGAGCGTAGGATATAGCACAATACAAGAACGAGGCTGACAATTTTAAAAAACTGCGGTGAGATTCCGAAAGGGGTACTATTCACCGACACGCTGCTAACACCCACACTCCGGCGCCGCCAACAGGCGCCTTACGGGGTCCGGCTTCCCCGGGGGCGCAGGCTCCGGGCCG